CTGCAGTGTATGGTGGAGACTTGTGGAAAATTATACCATTATGCGTGACATTACACACACACACGTTACAACAAGACCCTCTCTGCTAAGGAAAGAGCTACTTGGGCATATCCCGAATGTACTTCTGCCGTTAGGAAAGGAGGCCGAAACTGTGAAATTCCTGTTGGTATCCCCCTCAACATCAAGAACGTAGCGCTAAGGCAGCCTTCTTCAGGCTCTACTCCCGCCTGGGAGCGGCAGCGATATCCGGAGGCCGATATATCTATATCCACGTCTGCCTCTGTTGAGATCTATCTGTTGCTACTTCGTGAGCAAATAACGTGTCTGACAGAACAGCTCGCCGACGCTGTCGCCACCATAGGACGGTACCACACGGCTCTTACTGTACTAATAGAGTTGAAGCCATTAGTGTTAAACTCATGGCGTTGGAGCATTCAAATGAATCTCGTGATCCAATTGTCGCTACAGCAGTGTCTCCTGCCTCTAGTGTTGTTGTGATGAAGCCGAATAAAATCACAAAACCACGTGTCCAGAAGCAGAACCGCATCAATAAGGAGAAGCAGCATGTCGCGGGTCTAGTCGCAGAACCTAGCGTGCCGGTGGCCATGTTGCGGTTTTCAATGTAGTTGCGGCCAATGAAAATAGCTCGAAAGGTATCCTGCAGAGTACCTTTGTGGCGGATAATGTATCTGTTAAGGACCCTGATGACCTCACAAATGGGAGGAGCCTCGATCTAAAAAGCAGAGGCGTTCAGTTCGTTGCACCGCGGGCCCTAACGTCACCCTTCTGGTCGAGCACCGAAAATTTATTCATTTGTGGAATATGGTATCTGGTGTGGATGAAGTCAAAGAATACCTCCAGAACCTATGTCCTGAGGGAACCTGCACAGTGGAAGAACTCAAGTCTAGAGGTGACTATAAGTCATACAAATTGGATGTTCCAGCTGCTTGCTTCGATAGATGTATGTCAGCGGACGTGTGGCCTGATAATGTTAGAGTCAAAATGTGGTTTTTTCCGAGACAAAAGGTGTACGCTTGAGCGTACGGGTGTACGTGATTTCACATTTGACTGTTTCATAAGCATTACATACCAAAATGTCAGAGGTCTTAATACCAAGCTGAAATATTTTAGGCAAAGTATTTTTACTCATGAGGGTGACATTATTGCCGTTACTGAATCATGATTGTCGGAGTCAGTTAATAATTCCGAAATAGTGGGTGGTGAGTGGAGTCTACTTCGCCGCGATCGCGCTGCTGGTCGATAAGGAGGAGGAGTGCTAGTGGCCGAGCGGCCGGATATTATTACTCTGCAACGTAAACGTGAGTTCGAGACTGCTGATGGTGAGGATTTGTGGACATCCTTCGTGATAGACCAAATCAAATCACATTTATGTGTTGTATACATTCCACCAAATGCTACTGATGATGTGTATTTGCGTTTTTTTTTTCAAAAAGTAGAATCACTTATTAATTTCGTGCGTGGTCTTGTGATTATTGTTGGTGATTTAAATCTGAACCCTAAGTATGTGTCTCCTAGTATTTTAAGTTATTATTGTTACTTCACTACATTAATTAAATTTTTATTGAATTGATATTCAATTATTTTTTTGTGAAATTACTCCACTAGCTTGTTATAATTATTAATACAAAGATCGAACACTCAGAAAAAACACTCAGAAAAAATTCCTTCGATCCGGTCGGATTCGAACCGACGTCTTCTTGCATACCGTGCCAGACGCTATACCAACTAAGCCACGGAACGAACCAACGGACCTCACGATTTTTTCTATGTGCTTGCGTCGTGTCTTTGTACTTGGTCTTTCAACGACTTTTTAGTCGTAGCGCCATCTATGAGAAATCTATTACAGATTTATCACCCAGTTAGTACCTTTACAGCTACCAGTCCTGGCGAGAGATGTCGCTATTCACTGTATTAATTAAATTTTTATTGAATTGATATTCAATTATTTTTTGTGAAATTACTCCACTAGTTTGTTATAATTATTAATACAAAGATCGAACACTCAGACAAAACACTCAGAAAAAATTCCTTCGATCCGGTCGGATTCGAACCGACGTCTTCTTGCGGTATGCAAGAAGACGTCGGTTCGAGTTGAGCTTGAGTTGAGTTCGAGCCGACACAACCCTAGGGTTGTGTACGAGGGGAAAGATTATAAAGGTTGGGATTCTGCTCAGGCCTTCTCGTTGACTTAAAAAATGAGCCTAATGATGAAACATTTGACCGTCGACTGAACGACTTTTTGTTAGATAATACATATTATTCCACTGAAGAAGATAGGGACATGGACTTGTAATACATATATGTTGTAATTTATAGATATTAGTTATAAATATTATTTTATAGAAATGAATAAATTACATAAACTTAATGCATACATCATTATGTTGACATAATTATAATTATATTATTTAATATGTTCCTACATTATTTCACATAACTACATTAACTGTGTTAAAATTACGAAGTACAAAACTTGCATTGGATATATGTAATTTTTTGAAATGTAACATTTATTACTATTTGTAAGGATTCTTGTAATACAATATATTGTATATAATAATGTAAAGTTTACAAGATAATAAATAAATCTAAATTTAAATCTAAATCTATTGCTTTTATCTTCCTTATTCCTTCGCTTTATTTTACGAACATGAGAAAAAACAGAAATGGACAAAAAACAAGGACGTAGCTATCTCGATGTCCTCTGATGAGAAGGCTGAGGTGCATATCCTCACTAAACTCTCACTGTCCATCACATCATGTTTATATTGCACAAACGTTAACAATTAATTCCCACAAGATTACAGTTGTTCCATAGCACATTCTCTGCCGACATTTTACACGATTACGATCCGTATTGTCAACAGATCGGGACAACTGCCTGACGTAGACTGACAGTTATAATTTTATATTTACTAAAAACTACACTAGGAGATTCCCGAATTTTCTCTGCGTCGTAATTATTCGTTTTGAAAATGTAACGAATTAATCGGTTATTGCACATTTTTATTATACCGTTTTGTAATGTCAATAGACTAAAGGTGGAATTAGTATTTCGAAAACAACTAATTTCCATGAAGGGGTCTACCTGTAAAACATAGCCCCCTCCTCTAAAACTTTATTTTCTAGTCTCATTGTTTTCGCTGATTAGTTTCTTTTCTGTTAAATTTTGCTACGTACTTACCCCAGACTTAGGTGAGTGTCTGGTTGTTTAATATGTAGTTTTTCCATAAACTACAGCATTAGTTTTGATTGAAGTGATTGTGATTTGTATAGATTACATTGAATAATGTACGTTTAAATCCAGTATCGGTAGTTGAGGAAATGATAAGTTATTCGTCTCTATTAAAAATCAATTTAATTATGCGCAAATTACGAAACACAATGCACGAAAACTATTCGCCATAGCGATCAATGATTTAAAATGGATTGTTTGTAACAACAAGGTCTAGTTTGTAACATTTAGTTTACCTGGTCTTGATTCTCGCCGTGGTGAAAAGGTACTCGTTACTCGATATTGCCGCTGTCATGCACGCCACCACCGCCACCGCGAACACACGCTTCTGGTACGGCCCAAACTGTCCCACTTCGCACACTAGTATCGTCTCGATGTTCACACCCCCTAGCGTTTCTTGTGAGTCTGGTACTTCGTCCTCAGTAACCTTCATCTTTTCTTAAGCGTCGCTTCTTTGTTGCGTTCAAAAGTTCTTTAATATTTATTAGCCAACGTGTTTGTGTACAATAAAAAATAGACATACTGTTTGTGGGTTCCATCTAATCTTTTTCATATTACTAGTTGTCCTTGAAAATTGCATATCGCAGTAAAGATATTGTCATATTGTGAAAACTCTTCCGATTAAATAACACTGCAGACAACACAGTTATATACCTAGATAGACGCCGCAAGTACATATGTATGAAAACCAAGCGTGCCACATTTTTTATACCCACTATGACGCCACAAGAACTATTTAGTGATGGGAAACCTCCTTCCATTCTAAATCGATGATTAAACGGAATACGCGTATTTGATAATTACAAATAGTCGTAATATCAATAGGTATAATAGAAACATACTAGAATAAGATAGTTAAGTCCTTTATTTTACTTGTTTTAAATAAATGTTGATTACTTAGAAAAATTTAGACTTTAATTTTTAACCAACTTGAAATATTAAAATTATTGTTCTTCCAATAAAATGAGTTTATTATATAGCATCTTTTTAACCGACTTCAAAAAAAGGAGGAGGTTCTCAATTCGACATCATGTTGTTTTTGGTATGTATGCTACGCGATAACTCCGCCATTTGTGAACCGATTTTGATGATTCTTTTTTGTTGGAAAGAAGGTTTGACCTCAGATGTGGTCCCATTTAAATTTCAAGAAAATATTCTACCTCTAAGGGTGGCAAACTAGGGGATGAATGGCTTTTGAGGTTTTTTTAACCGGAGGTTAGGTTATTGTAATAGAAGATCTTATCGATTAACTTAAATAATGTATGCACTTGCGACTGTCTTAATTAATTTTAATATATGGTTTTCTGTTGGTAATTGATCAAATTGGTGAATGGCAAGACAAATTAAAATGTTACTGCTGACAAAATATGGTAAAATTTTATTAATCAGAAGAGGTTTACTTAATGACGGCCACGTGTAAAATTTTTGTGATTTATTTATTACTTCTCGTATTTCTAACTCTGCTACTCTGCATATTTGGGTAGCATCTTTGGTGGGATGAACTAGACCACCTTCGACCTCGAAAGCAACGAACTCATACGTATGACCCACTCCAGGTTTTTGTAAAGACAGCGCACTATTACATTCTTCGCATTTTATATTTTTTTGTATTACTCGTACTACATATCCGACGATGTATGTAATTATTTGTTCATTATATTCGGACATTCGAGACAACGTGTTGCAACAATTATTGAAATTACAGATACTGTTGATAATAGATACAACAAAACTGAGGAAAAATACGAAACGTTACTAAACATTATAACAAACAAGTTTTAGAATATTTTTATAATATTGCTGAGGTCATAATAATCTTCGTCCCTTTGTTTTCAAAATCGCTCAGAATCGTGAACAGTGTTGCCTAACGTATACATCAATAAATGTTAAATTTGGCCAAAAGAATGTACAAGCGGCCGTACAACGAAACTGAATGCATTACACAAAAGTGCGTTCGTTCGATATTCATGGCGTATTAACAAAGGATCACAAAATATCGCACCACACATACACACGGTTGCATACTTGTTTTCTCGGAATTCATACAAACTCAAAATAATTGCTTTTAAAATAAATTATGTATTCTTCTGATTACAAAATCACTTGCCCGTGGAAGGAAACGTCCCTGTTTACTCGTTTACCCACAGTCATAGTGCTTTTGCAGTTTATAATGTCACAATTTTGCGTTTCTCCCGTTTTCGACTGGTGTTTATCTACGATAACAGTCGAGCGCCTTCTGTTATGAAGTGTAGCAGCGGCAACAACTTTATTGCCTGTATTTCACTTAAATTGAGCATGCGAAGTACGTACACTTGCGGCGTCTATCTCATATATGTCTGTGGCAGACACATACTAAAACAATATCGACGCCTGAAAGCGATCTTGTCGTATCTCGAAAAATGGGCAGGGCCGAAAAACTATTTCAAAAAATTTGTTACTTACATCTCTATAGAAATGGTATCGTGGGTAGGTACGTGCTACATTGTTATTTAGATAGGTGCGTATTATTAATAATAGCATTGAATACTCCTCGTTAGCTAAAGCATATTTTGATCGAATTTACATTGAATTATTTATCAACCGACTGCAGTTTTATGTATTTTATTGAAAGGTGTTTGCCATTATAATATTCATGTATGGTGACGCTTTGGTACGAAAAAATTGTAACCTTCGATGGCTCGTGGAGAGCTGCGGGACAGGTGAGCGCGCAAAGTATAGGGAAGGGAAGCCGTACCATCAACCTATCGATCCAGAACACCGAAGGGCTCGTTCACAATCAACAAGGCTACCATGAAAATCTTGCGATATACAGACCAATACCGATGAACAGTCAATAAAAATTTGCAATGAATGCGGAAACAAATTTTTCTAGTTCGAATGTGACGTCACACGCTATTTTTTCGTCATTGGCGGTTGATGCGGCTTTGGCGTAGCACTGATTGGAATGAGAAAGCATAAGTAGATGCGAGCTCAGACAAACTATATGGCGTTACCAATGTATTTTTGTCGAATAACTCAACTAGTTTGTTATAGTTATTAATACAAAGATCGGACATAAAGAAAATTTCCTTCGACCTAAAGAACATGAACCTATGACCACGCCAAACCCGGACGATGCTCCGCCAACAGAGCTATTATTTAATTTTTTTTATTGAATTGTGCCAGACGCTATACCAACTAAGTCACGGAACGAATCAGAGGACCTCATGAATTTTTCTAAGTGTTTGTTGTCGTGTCTTCGTATTTGGTTTTTTCAACGACTTTTTAGCCGTAGCGCCATTTATGAAAAATTTTATGTATTTCGTCATCGATCGAAGGAATTTTTTCAGAGTGTTCGATCTTTGTATTAATAATTATAACAAACTAGTGAAGTAATTTCACATAAAAAAATATTGAATATCAATTCAATAAAAATTGAAATACTATGAATAGCGACATCTCTTGCCAGGGCTGGTAGCTGTAAAGGTATCTAACTGGATGACGAAATACTTAAGATTTCTCATAGATGACGCTACGGCTAAAAATCGTTGAAAAAATCTGAGTGTTCCATCTTTGTATTAATAATATTGACTTATTAATAATTATAACAGAGCTATTATTTTTCAAATAAACTAACATTTCGAGGTCTTTATAGGTATCATGGTCACGGCTGACTGAAATGGTGTTGTGATCATCAACCAGTGACGTGTAATACACAGATCAAACAAATACTAATAACAATGCAAACCACTATTATTAATATTTGTTAGGTGTTTCGTATTACACTATTCTGAACTATAGTTACAGATATACTCCTATAGTATTTGACAAATAAAAAGGGCAATAAAGAACTTAAGGAATCAATAGACCTGCAGCTCTATTGCCAGTTTTCGAGAAAATTCCTTAAGACAATTTAAATGAAATAATTTTTTTGGAAAGAACAAAGAGGTTATAGAAGTTAAAGACAGTTCAGTTAATTTAGCGATACACGACTTCTTAGACAAAACATATACAAGATAAAGTAACTGGAGGGTTAATTATGTATATCAACTTAGAAAATACAGTGCCGTACTACGAAATGTTCTACGGCTATGCGGCTACGAAAACTTTCTCACAAGTGGAAGCAGGCAACAAACGTACGCATCACTCTCCATCAGATATTTCAGCAAACTAAGCCATCAAATCACTGGAGAGTCTCACAAGTGGAAGTTAAATACTCAAAAATGAGATAGGTGGGGCAGCGTTGTTTTTTCTAAATATAATAGACACACGCTTGGCCACAATCTCACCTGATGTTAAGCGATGATTGGACCGACGATGGGACGGGTTTGCCTAAAAAATACCTATTCACTCTAGCCTTGAATAACACCAAAATGTACTTTTCGGGAAATACAGTTGCCGATAGAGCATTCCATTCCTTTGCCGTACGCATCAGAAAGGAGGAAGCAAAGCGCTTAGTGCGAATATCAACGACATAAGTATGGAATGCTCCGGACCTTCTAGTCGACCGGAGGAGAAACGGCGAGGACGGAACCAAATTGAAAAGTTCCTGCGCACTACTTTTCTGCGTTGGTCGAGATTTTGAAGCTTCGACTCCACAAGAGATTTTTGATAATAAGACTCTTTGCTTTTCGCTCCACCGAGTCCAAGGCAGCTAACTGATAATGGGCAGGTGTACCCTAATTGCGTTGATCCACCAGTATAATTTTTTCTGAAGAACATTTTGCAATGGATGGACGACACTGGCACTGTATAAAATTCCATGTTCGACGTCATTACTTACTGTGAACACTTTGAATGCGTGTTTTTGGCATAACTATAAATGGTTTTAGGTGGATAACCACGCCATCTATTGCTGTTAGTCCGTACTAAATATATGCACATTTCACTTAATGTAGGGGTTTGTTAGTATGTAAATTCATTAATAGAATGGTTTCAAGAAATTGATATAAAAATGAATCTAGAAAAAGCAAAACTACTGATTTTAAGCTGAGAATAATAAATAGGTAGTAAGACAAACGTAGAATGTAGAGGGACGCAGGTATAATAAAGTTCATAGGTAGGTATAGAACAGACAGACATGACGTTAACTATGACAATAAATATTAAAGATACCCTTTCAAAGGTAATTTATTGATTTAATTTGAAAGTGTGTTAAATTTGAATTACCTGATGTAAAATCGTCTAGCCCAATCATAGAAATAAATGAAGAAAAGTTAGACCTTGTTAATAAAGCTGTCTTTTTCGGAGTAACCTTAGACAGTAAACTAAAAATGTTATCCACATATATCTTCCGTGGCCAGCAGATTATAAATTATAGTACGTAGAATTCGTGAGCTTGCCGATGTCGCTACTGCCAGACTAGTTTACTTTTGTTACTTCCATAGTACAAGTGTCCTACGGGATTCTCATGTGGGGTAAAGCGGCAGATTAACAAACCTTATTCGTTCTGTGTACCATTTAGATTCTCGGGTTTATCTCAGAGAAAAGTTTAAGGAGACTGGTATCATGACATGTTTCTTGCTCGTTCTTCTCAGGGAAGTCGACCCAGTGAACAAACGTAGCTACAAAATTACGTTTCAAATGTAAAAATTTTACCCATGGAATACTTAAATAATTATTTGGAAAGCATAATTAGAGAGTATTTGCACTAAATTCAACACATATGCATATACATTATACAAGCTCCGCAAAGTTTTTTTTTATTCTAATGTAAGTGTGCAGTTGACCTCCATCTCACCTGATGGAAAGTGACGATGAGGTCGACGATGGAGCATGCACGCCTAGATAATGCCTATTCACTTTCGCCTTGAAAAAATCCAAATTATAACGTTCAGGGAACAAGTCTGCAGGCAGGGAATTTCACTCCGAGGGAATTTTCCGTTCGCCATATAAATGTGGAAGCTTAACGCTTCGTGCGAATCTTTGGAATATCCACAACATAGAGGTGGAAGCCAAGCCTACGCCTAGTCCCCCGATAATGGAAAGGGGAAGGCGGAATTAAATCGTGTAATTCCATCGCACACTCTCCGTGATATATCCTGTAAAATACCGATAAGCAGGCAACTTTACGGCGGTGTTCAAGGCTCTGAGGCTTCGCATCTACTATTTCCGAGTCACCTATAAGCCTCTTGGCATGCTGTCAATTGAATCCAAGGTGGCCAGTTGGTATGTAGCAGAGCCATCCCTAAGGTCGCAGCAGTACGTGTACACGACCAGACTTGTGCTTGATACAGGTAAAGCAACTGTCCCGGTGTGAAATAACGCCTCACCCTGGAAAGGATGCCAAGCTTCCTTGTGCATTTTTGGCCATGGATTCAATGTATCTGCCGAAGTTCAAATTGGACGACAGGTCCATTCCAAGTAGCTGAAGACGGTCGGCTATCGGTATGGATATATCACGAAAAGTCGGAGTCAGCTCAAAGGTCTGTGGAAAATAGATACGCCTGCATTTTGCAAGCATTAAATTTCACAGGATTGGCATCGATCCAATCGGAGACTACCTTGAATGTCAAATCCAAACGGCTAACCATAGACTCGACAAGATTGGATTTCCTCTCCACTGACCCTTGCATTGATCAAGTACCTATCTACAACTGCGCTGTCATCAGCATACGCATAGCTACCGGGAATTAACACATCATTGATATGCAGCAGAAAGAGTTTTGCAGACAGTACGGAACCTTAAGGATTTCTCTAAGTAGCCTTCTAAGGTCACTCGAATGGAACGCTCACTCAAGAAATTCGAGATACGATTGCAAAGATCAGTGGGAAGCCCATAACATGGAACCTTACTTAAAAGGCTTGAGTGCCCGATCCTGTCAAAAGCTTTTCGCGTTGCTTATCTGTAGCCTCACTCCATGTGTGACAGACATACACAAGAAGATCCCCAGTAGATCGTCCTCGTCGGAATCCGTACTGGCGATCGCTGAGGAGGTCGTTGTCTTCAAGGTACGACAGGAGACGGTTGATGAGTACACATTCCATAGTCTTGTAGAGTATGGAAGTGAGAGATAGGTCTATAGTTGACAGGGTCAGCTCTGCTTCCTTTTTTGGGCACAGGATGCACGATTGCAAGCTTTCCCGACTTGGGTACTACACCAGCCTCATGTGAGAGCCGATACAGGCGTGTGAGAACAGGAGATGACTCAGGCGCACAGTTACGTAGGACTACAACTGGAATTCCGTCTGGCTCACTAGCTTTATTCACATCTAGATTCCGCAGAGTTCTAAGTACCTCTTTTTGGCGTATGCGAACTGGCGCCATAAGTGCAGCCAGCCTGAGGTAAGGTAGGTGGTGGATTCCCTGCGGCATCCAAACTGTCTGAAGTTGTAGATGGACACCCTGTTCCTTAGTCATACCACGGTTATGTTGTTTCCATGTTCCATTCTGGGGCAAAGGAACTAATGTAACTTCAGTTTTCCAGGAATTTGTCGATTGAAGCGTACAGAGCTGCAAATCATATTTTACAATTTGCCGCTTTACTTGCAGCTACACCAGTACCACTGCTACGCCCGCGCGTCGGCTCACTAACCACTTGGCTGCCTTCGGACCTTGCAACTCTGTCCTTGTCCTCTAAGTCCATATCTCCTTTCTTACCTAATTTACATTACCTTACCTTACTCCAAATCACCTTTCTTACCTTTTCGATTCTTCACCTCCACTGTACATCACTCATTCAACTCTATTACATTTTAGAAGTTTTACATTGAACATTTAACAAAATGAAAATTATTACATGGTTAGCTTTAATTGTACTTACAAATATCTAAGTGATAGGTACGTAAGTACGAAATTGCGGGCACAACTAATACTAGATGAATGAATACTAAGTGTGAAGAATCAAATAATTCTTTGCTAAAACTATTACTAAATTATTTACTTTTGTTACAAGAGTGTAAATGTCGATAAATGAAGTAAGTACCTAATAAGGGTAATTTTCTCTACCTGATTTCGGTGGCAATTTTTATTATTTAACTATTTGAGTATGTCATCGTGAAATATTGAATAATATTTCAGGTCACTACTGTCGAATATTAAATATTACCTACTTCGTGACAATATTCTAGACTATTTAAATAATACGAATTGTCGTCGCAATTACAACTGCCCTGAAAATCACCCACCTGTCTTACATAAGTAAATGAATATTCTATATTTTCGATTTTACTTTAGATATTCCATTAAAGCCTTTGAACCTTCTGTAAACGTCCTGTCTAACAGGGCGAGTAAAACTAATGTGCTATTAACACTTTTAACAATATCCTTACAAAATTCTACGGAGGCTTAGCAGTGGAATGTGTCTTTTAAACACTACACCTAATGTCTACACCACACTTTATGTAAATATGTTTAAAATTTATTAAATGCGCACAACACGCGCAAAACGCCAAAAAAGACTAATTTTGTCTTAGAGGATACCTTCCCAGGACGTGCGCCGTTCGCAACGACAGATACGTGTCCAATCTCGTTATCAACCCTTTACAATATTCCGCGTTCAGTAACGGAATGCATAATACTACAGGTAAATTATTGATAATTTTTTTTTAGGATATCATACATGTATTTACATATCTAGTTAGTAACAGACTTATAAACTATGTCAGTAGATACAATATTTTAAACTTAGATGTAGTAAAATTTATGAGGTGCCTTATTAGAGGTCCCTCCATTTTCTCAGCAATCGTTTTCAGGATGCTGTTGCGACTGTTGCGTAGTCTGTTTAAAAGACAAGCGATTATCTTTCGTAGTACGGCAGAGAAGGAGTCTGTCCGCGTTTCCGTAAACATCGCAGAAGCGCTATAGATCGTTTGTGGTCGCATTGGGTGCGGAGAGCAATATACAACGTTTGTGTATGTTAGTTCCAGAGGCTACCCGCGTGAAAAGAAAAAACCTTACTGACAAAACTCTCCGCTTCCTCTCCATATTGTCATCGTCGTGTCTCCGAGACAAGGTTGATTAAATGTATTAGACACTTAAAGTTAAACACTCTGTTAAGAGCTACCCCATTTTGTCTGATCGGTGGTATAGCTGCAGGACATTTACTTCCTGCAGATTATTATTATTAGGGTGGTTTAATTCGGGGCCTATGCGGCCACTCATCACTGCGACCATTAACTATTAACTGATCTATTGTGATCACCACTAATTACAGTTCGGAGACAAGGACGACAGCATTAAAGAACTGAAGGACTTTCCTGGCTCCGACAGTTTTTATGTCCTCCGGGTGTGACCTGTGCCTTTTTGTACATTATATACCACACCGTGTGACTTTCTGTAAGCAGCCTGGGCTTGAAGTCAAACTGTGTATCATTTAACTGTAGATGCTCATGTAGACGAGAGTTTAAAGTCCGTAACGCTACCTACCTATCTAATAATTAATAATACGTTGTAGTAAGGTCTTATTGGGGTGGCAGAGGGAAACCAGGTTTTCTCCAATATGGTGGTTTTATTTCACAACATATACATACAGTTACAACACGTATAATGTACATACAGTTCGGGAGGTACGTACAGTGGGAAAGGACTCCCCCTAATCGGCACGTAGTCGAGGACCCGTACACACGTTCCAATTAGGAAGCGGCTCAGGGTGCAACAACAGTAACGATCTAAAGCGGAGTTCCAAACAAGAAGCAGAGCTTGATATGTAGTAAGCTGGATTCTTCAATGTTCGCATCGCCGCCAGTAGTCGTTCCGTGAGGTAAAATCTTAACATCGCGATGCAGAATTTGCTATTTCGACGCTAATGCCATCTAGCGGTGCGTGACGGAACTAATATGAGTTGTTTGCCTGTTATGTGATTTTGTTAAAACGTGTAATTTTCAGGTCAGTTTTCTCTACCTGATTTCGGTGGCAATTTTTATTATTTAAGTATCCATTTGAGGACATTACTCTCGTAGTAATAGTTCTTGATAATATTCTGTAGTATTGAAATAATACAAACTGATACCGAAATTCGGTAGAGAACACTTACCTGAAAATTATTTACTCTTTAGCTCAAATAAATTACTATTTATCATACTTTGACAAAAAAAACATAGCAAAAAAATATGATCTAATGCAGTACGTACATTTACAATTATTAAGTAAAATAAAATAAAAAGCTATTTAAATAGTATACTTAAATCTTATAGTATCGAAAAAACAAAAATCCAAAATGCATTGGCTTGCACCTTAGATATGTATAACACAACCAGTTTAACATTCATCAGGCGGCTTCTTGAAAACGACACTAGCGATAAACGTTATCGCCGACAATGTCGGATGCTTATCATGTAACATTTCGTAACAAGTAATCGAGTATATAGTTGTCAGATTAAATACACAATGGGCAAAGCTAGCTTATTTATATTATCACAGAGTATTACTAAATATAAAGTTTGTACGGAAAACTGCTGAACTAAAGATTATGATGCATTTGTCCGTTTACAAATAAGGTTGGATGCCTCCTCCATGGTGTCAGGCAGCTGCGTGCCTAGCGTCTCCGGAGTGAGCAGCACTAGCAGGCCCGACAGCAGTGCACACCCTCCGAATAGCTCGAACGGCAGTTGCTCCCACACCTCGGCACCCTGCAGTAACACGATATAACTATGAGTGGTGATAAATAGGTGAAAATATGTTGGTTACGTAGCTAAGATTGTCACAACTTACAAGAGCAGGTGTGAGTGGCGCCAGGATGGCACCGATGCGGCCCATCATCGAGGAGAATGCGAAGAGGCTGTTGCGATACTTAGTAGGGTACAGCTCCGATGTATACACGTAGATGGCCGCCATCACCATTGCGATAGAGCATTTGCCGACCATGTACACTGCCAACGACGCAGTGGCATTCGCTTGAATTAAAAATGGAGTAGGTGTCATAGTACATACGAAATATTTTATGAAACCATGTTATTATTATTATTATTATTATTATACATATAAAGCTACAAGTTCTTACTCACTGATAGAAATAGAACGCATACTTCCCGATATGGGGGAAAACAAATATTTATACCGGTGTACGCGGATAGGCTCCAAAGTAAAGAATCAAATATGAGAGGACCTGAATATGGAAAATATGAAAGAGTGATCAACGGCCTGCAAAAACTATAATACATGGGGTAGATTTTTGTGCATTTTTATGAGATACACCCTGGGTCGATTTCCGAGGGAAGTAAAAAATGTTCGAAATTCAAATAAACAAGATAGCCGACATACAAATTTCAAAGCCTCCTATCACGAAAACTGAGGTGCTGCAAGAAATGTCATAGAGGGTAACACTGGTCAACTGCCTGGGTTAAAAAAAATTCAAGATGGCGATTTCAAAATGGCTGCCGAAGAAAAACTTGCTTCGATCCGGCTGAAAATTGGCATGCGAGTTCTTTATGAGTTCTAAATCATAATTTGGGGTCAAAAATTTATTTTCGCTATTTTTTAATATGGCTGCCATACAAGTGTCTTTTTTCGTTAAAAATAGCTGCCGAAAGAGATTTGCTCTGATTCGACTGAAAATTGCATGTGAAGGCCAGTAGAAATACCGGATAATAATTTGTGCTCAAAATGTGTCTTTCGCTATTTTCAAATATGGCCGTCATAGAAGCGTTCGTCGGCGGCAGAAAAAAAATGCTCAGATCCCTTTGAAAATTGGCATATGGGGGTCTGTAGGAGTGCTTGATAATAATTTGTGGTCAAAATTGGTATTTTGCCATTTTCAAATATGGTCGCCATAGAAACTCTTTTAGCGGCAGATAAAAATTTGCACTATTCGATTGAATATGGATATGTCGGGGTCTTTATGAGTGTTTAATAATAATTAGCAGTTAAAATATACATATTTCAATAAGGCTACCATACAAACTTTTTTGGCGATAGATACAAATTTCTTCTAATTCAACTGAAAATGACATGGCATCATAATTTGGGGTCAAAATTTTGTTCCGCTGTTTTTCGATATAGCCGTAATTTATTTACGTAACTTGCTTTGCTCGGACTGAAAATTAGCACGAAAAGATTTTTAAGATTGATTGATAATAATTAGTGGTCATAATATAATTTTTTGTAATTTTTAAATATGGCCGCCATTAAAGAGCCATTTAATATTTTTTTAAAACAAAGTCCTAAGTGCCGAGGCCGCAGGCCGAGGTCCGCGGAGGGCGAAGCCCGAAGCGTCCGCACGCCTTCGTATGGAGGTAATTATATACGGAGGCGTAATAGATTACGAGTACAAGATCTCACAATTGTAAAAATGTAAGGCATACTTCCCGATGTAGTGGAAATGAGATACTTATTATAGCGTGGTTGTATCGCAACCATATCTGTTAGATTCCATTTTCTTGAAAGCTATGCCAAAGAGAAGTATTCAGGGGGAAAAATGCCAAACTATTGCCGAATTTCCTGTACTATGAATATCAAAACAACGATAATCCAGAATACTCAGACCAAAATCGACTTAGAAATATTCATTTCTCAAATTGGCCCAAATCGGGAATCGACCTCCTCATCAAGCGCCCATAGTATTGACTGCTGTGCCACCGAAGAGCATGAGCACACCCCGTAAACTGAATCCGACCACGCGCCGCAGGCCGAGCCCGATCCCACCGCAGGTGGGGTACAGGTCTCGTACATGTATATGATAAATATGGAGTACTCACTAGAGGGGATGAAGATAAATGCTATCTGGCAAGCTGCGCACAGCCAGAAGCCTCCAATAAGCACAGGTTTCCTGCCTGCAAATCCGAGCAACAGAAATGCAATCCAAAATCCGGGAATCTCTACAGCTGATACAGTCACGTAATTCAGGTACTTGTTCCCCGTCAAGTTGAGCGAGTTAATTGATAGCCCATAGTAGATAAAAGTCGCCGTGACCCACCACAGAGGTGACACAAAGCAACGCACTAGAATCGATTTGTGACGAAACACTTCTGCTATCAACCATGGTTCCTTAGCTTTCAATTCTGTGTCTCGGGCTTGCTTTTTCTTTTCCTCTTCCACATTGTATCTGAGCTTCTGAAGCGACTTTTCTGATAGTTGTTTCTTATTGATTCGAGCGACATTTTTAAGCACTATCTCAGCTTCTTCGAAGCGACTCTTACTCAAGTACCAACGTACAGACTCTGAGATCAACCAGTAAAATGAAATGGTAGTGAGCTGGGGGAGATAAACCGCAAGCGTGAGTTGCCGCCAGTAAGGCAGAATCCAGGCCAACAGGCCCAAAGTCACCTGCCCCACCGCAAAGAAAGTGTTCATCACCACTCCACCCACCACACGATATTTAGGACCCATCAGCTCCATCACTAGAAGAAAAAAATAAGTTGAATTTCCTTAAGTCCTTTCAAATATAACATTTCTTTGGAGTATATTCATCATTTCAAAGAATAATATTTATGTACATAGATGAATAAAAGGGCCGTAATCATGCTGTAATCTATATATTTTATTATCGTTTCAACATTTTTCAAAAACGCGGATGTACGTGCCTAGGTATATCTACATTATCATTAATTATGGACATCGCGTCATACGTATAATTTTAAATAATTTTACAGCCCTTATTTAGGCAATCAGCTATTTTTAGTTCCTATTTTATCTCAAATTCAGTTTTATTGGTTTTTTATTGATTTATTTTAAATACTTTCATAGTCCATAGTGACATAAGTATAGCCGCATAAGTAATGCCGCCGATATTAATAGTCTTTGTTCTGTAAAAACGCGCGGTCAAGCCAATTTACAAAGCGGGTTCCAAAGTGTCTCTCAGTGATAAATTTAACGAAATTAATGTTCTTACATTAAAGTCACAAGACATTTATGAAAATCTGTATTTAGAAGAATGTTGTCAAAAAAAAATAGATATAGTATATAATATTATAGATATAATATTAATACGAGGAATAAAAATAAACTGGCTGTTCTTGACAGTCGTCTTCACGAAGTCACAAATCCGTGACTTCGTGAAGAAACCTTTTTTGGTAAAATTTGCCAAAAAAGGTTTTATGCAATAGTGAAACAAAAATTTTATGTTAAAGGTTTTGCCTTCAGTAATTATTAAGTAATCTCTGCTTCAGTTCAACATCTTCTGTGTATGTGGATGTCACAAATCCCTGGTAGTGACCCTCTTACCTCTTTTAGTCTATTACTATCTATGACATTTGAAAAATATGTGAACAAATGTCTATTTGCAAATAGCAACACCTAGAGTTTCCTACTCGTTCTTCTTTCTCAAATCTGCCTCACGAATGAGTAGCGGTATTTAATCAATGTGAAAAGCTTACTCAAGAAATAAAAAAATATTTGAATTTAACCTATTAAACATTTCTATATATGTAGTGATTAGTAAACATACCCAATATATAGGTACAAGTAAATCCACCTGCACCGAAAACAGCCTCAAAGAACTCGGACATAAGAAAACTTATATACGTGTTGGCGAAGTAGCGTAGTGCGCCAATCCAGGCAGTGTTAAAAGCATTGATCACGAGGGCTGTACGCCGGCCCAGCTGGTCCGATATGAACCCCGTCAGCGGCATTGCAACCAGTGTGCCTACCGTACGCACTGTTCCGATCAGCGACCGCCGCCACTCGTCGCATGCCAACCCGAAGTCATAAACGATGCTTTCGGAGTTTGCGTAGATGAACTTCTTACAGTCGACGGTACGCTGCTGGTCGAAGAGGGTGGCGGGACAGGTGTGGTGTATTGCCTCGGGGCTAATTAACGACGCGTTGGCGAATCGCGTACAGCCCTCGAACGAGGTGGCGCTGGTGCCGGGCACCGCGTTCAAGATCCATTTTGGCGCGAACTCCGTGTTGGATGGATCGTCACACTCGGGGATTAAACATCTGTGAAACCGTATAAAATTTGAGTCAAAAACATTCAAAATGCACTTTATCGAAAGATACAGAGAGAACTTTTATGCTTTGAACGTTTGTCTTACCTTGTGCTAATCCTAGCGGTAGTGAAGATGTGATCTACAGTTGCCCACGCGCTGAACACTACCACCACTACAGCGAATAGCATCATCCGTAGCTGATATAACCCGAACTGGCCCAGCTCCTCCACCAGGATCGTGTCCAGGTATACTTTTGCTTTTTTCCCTGATAAAGGTTTCCCGCTCTCCACATTTGGTTCTAACTGCGGTTTCTCCATATCAACTTAAGCTTTTTAACGTTCACTCAACTCTTAAGATGTAGTTTGAAGACTGGTCTTTGGTGGCAGTCCGTTATTTGTCGCGTGTAGTCTATAAAAATCTCCTCGCCGGTAAGCACAGCATATCGTCTTATATAAATTATATGATGATATGTGTGAACTCAATGATATGCGTTCTTTGAAATAATATGTATATCTATTTGTGTACAATTTTTTTACTTCACTTTCTATGTTATGTAGTATATTTGTGTTTAGACCCTGAATTGCAACTTCATGAGTGTTTGTCAATTTGTTAAATATTTAAATCGTGACAGAACCTCACCCGCGCGTTCGTATATTTACTAGGTGATGGATGGGAGTGCGAATATTACACTTATCACACACATGAAATAAATGCAATATTGATAATGAGCATTTTGTGAGGTTAACTAAATTATGTGCTATTAAATTTATCGATTTATTGCATTGTAATTCAGGTATTGTGCTTTCATTGATGTCTCTGACTCATTACTTATTGGACGAGGGTCATGAGGTAGGGCATTGTTTGCACAATTGTGCAGACAGACCGTACAGGCATCATTAGGTATACCTTAGTATTTATTCAGTATTCAAGGGGTATTTATTCATATTGCTTACACGGTAAAAACAGATTACTTAGAAAATGACAAAATTCTTTTTATGAAGACAAATTTATTAAATCCAACAAAACGATCCTCTTCCTATAGACGCTAGAGAATAATTACTTGATAATAGTAAAAAAAGTCTCAAAAGTATATTTTAGTTATAAGACAGAAATATTTAGTCCAAGAGCAAATTAATTTACTTCAAGTCACAAAGCCATTCGAGATTCAACAAAATATTTATTTGTTATTAGAAATGTCCAATTTTGATTTGAAAAAAAAAGAATGAAAAATTGAGAGGTACTTAATTATTGGACTGAAGATTTATGTTTTCTAATATCAAAAAGCGTAAATTTACAGGGTTATGGATCCAACAGTATGTCTCACTGCTGCATTGGCGTAAAAGCACACAGTTCAGTGCCAAACCTTAAAGTAGCAGATATAGGACGGAATCTTCTCAAATGCTTGAGTACCGCTCAGTGCCATATAAATGCTACAGCGGCAGAACGTAATAATAATTCCTTTTTTTTTTGAAGGATATTTTGCAGGTGCTTTACTGCGCCACCGGCGAAAAAGGGCGAGCTGAAGGCTCATGAGATGACTTTATACTATTGAAGTTAACAAAACGATAGCGCGTTTCAGAGTACAACTAATGCCATCTAGCAGTGGCGTGATGGAACTAATTGCATGTTAAAGTTGTGCTTGTTACAAGTGTAGTTTGATTTCATGCTGAAACCAAATTTCTTAAATTATGACTATAAATAACACCCTATCAAACTAGAAGTACTACGTATTGTTTCTTTGGATAAATGACTGTTTATGATTTTTATGATTACAAGCACAAGTAAAAGTAATCGTTACCGCGTGCACCTTCGGCGACATGTCACGACAACATTGTCTATGAAAACGTAACGTAATGTTTCTTGAAGAATATACTCTAGAATTTAGAGTATTAATCTGAATAACAAACAAATAAGCAAACTACTTCTTTTTTTGTTTAAGAATATATTTTCTTAAAATACACCCAATAAATTTTGAATTGTTTTTTTTTTTTTTTTATTGTGACTCGGCAAAATGACTGCACCGCGCCTGATGGAAAGTGCGAATATAGTCCAGAGATGAGAGTAACGGATGGAAAACACAAATATCTTCACTCCGTCACTATCATTTTGCCGGTCTGGCCAAATGCTTCTTCACACTACGTTTGAAGGACCCGATGTTATAGAGAGGAGGGAATACATGCGCCGGGAGTTGGTTCCACAATTTGATGGTTCGGCATAAAAACGAATTGCCAAACTTTTTAGTGCGGGACGGTATTGAACTGACCGTCCAACTGTGGCAACGCAGTCCGGCACGGGTGGTCCGCTGATGGAAAGGAGAGGAAGGGATAAGGTTGAATAACTCTTCAGAGCACTCACCGTGGTACAGGCGATAGAATACGCTAAGAGACGCTATATCTCTGCGAAGCTGTAACGACTCCGCATGCTCAGTTACATGAGGATCGTTGACAACACGGAAGGCGTAGCGCTGCAGTCCATCTAGGGCATCGAGTAAGTACTTGGCAGAGCCGTCCCAAAGGTGCGAACAGTACTCCATGCTGCTTCGGACCTGAGCTTTATACAACAGGTATCGCAGCTCTGGAGTAAAAAATCGGTGCACCTTGTTTAGGATGCCAAGCTTGCGCGTCGCGGTACAGATGACACTCTCGATATACTCTTTGTTGCTCATGTCCTTCCGGATGCTCATCCCCAGTAGGCTGAGCTTGTCCTGCAGCGTCAGCGTTGTACCCTGAAGATGGGGAAGTGGAAGGAATGGGGATTTTTTGGAGCTGAACGCGCATACCTGGGTTTTCTTGACGTTGAACTCAACCAAGTTTCGGGAGCCCCACGACGATATATGTTCCAATACATGGTTGAGCTGAGCGACAAGTTTTTCCCGGTTTCTCTCAGGGTCCTCCCGGCTGCTTGACGATTGCTTATAATAGCAACCGTGCACTGTGCTATCATCTGCATAGCAATGAATGTTGCCAAAAGGCAACAAGTCGTTGATATGCAGAAGGAACAGCGTGGGCGACACCACGGAGCCCTGTGGCACCCCAGCATTAACTGTCACGAGCCGCGAAGTGCCTCAGTCAACAAGGACACGCAATCTTCGCTCGCGCAGAAAGCCGGAGATCCACTCACAAAGGCGGCCGGGAAGACCATATGCCGGAAGCTTGGAAAGGAGACCACGGTGCCAGACCCGATCAAAGGCCTTAGCAATATCCAGACTTATCGCTAAGGTTTCGCCCTGTTTGTCGATAGCTTCACCCCAGAGATGCATTAGATACGCTAGAACGTCACCCGTTGATCGGTTCGGCCGAAACCCGTACTGTCGATAATTAAGAATGGAGTGACGTTCCAGGTGCCGGATTATCTGGATATTTAGAATCCGCTCCATCACTTTGCAGAGCACTGAAGTGACAGCTATTGGGCGATAGTTTGTCGGATCAGACCGATCTCCTTTCTTGGGGATAGGTTGCACGTTGGCCTCCCTCCAAGCTAGGGGCACGTTACCAGATTGGTATGAGAGGCGGTATAAACGCGTCAATACGGGAGACAACTCCGCCGCACACCTTTTAAGGACGATAGGAGGTATCCCATCAGGATCATAGGCCTTACGCACGTCAAGAGTCGGCAATTCCTTGCGGACATCACATTGTCTGATAACTATATCAGGCATTGTGACTCCGCAGTGGGGAATTGACGGCGGTTGCGCATCTTGGTCGTGAATGTGCGAGTTAGCCCCAAAAAGGTCGGCCAATAAATTGGCTTTCTCTTCGGGGCCAAAAATCCAAAATCCATCCGTTCATTTAAGATTATTTAAATTTGATGTAAGAGGTAAAAATTTCTTGATTAAGTAATGTCCAATTAATTGATTAGAAATGAAATAACATCTTGAAGTGAACGTATTTGTCTGAAAGTTAGAATATAGTTAAGAGTAAAATTGTATTAGAAAAAGATAAGCAGTATTTTTGTAATGACAATATTTTATTACTTTTAATAAATATTTTTTCAGAATTAGCAAATATTTTGAGAAATTGCTCTTTCTTATTAGTAGAAATTTTTTTCTGGCACATATATACAATAGAAATGAGAGATGTCACGAGTAGTGGATTTGGCCGAGTACCGAATACAGAATATTTGTTCATAATTGCGTCACAGTTTTATTAACAATAGTACTTTTTTATTAAAAAATATTACTGTTCGTTGAAAGCTACATCGAATGGCTCCATTTAATAAAAAGTAGCCTATTTGAAAATTAAAATAGATACATTTTTAAGAAATATGTGCGTTTTTTTCATAGTTTGGTATTTAGTATTCGACCGAATTGATTGAATACCAAATATTCGTGGCATCGCTATAGGAAATGCACGCGCATGCGAATGCGACCTCGAATAACTCGAGCTACTGTAAATGTTTCTTACTTCATTTTTCTTTTTTTTTTATTTATAATATCAATTGCCGAAATTTAAATGGAAATGTAATGTTGTAATGGACAGGCTGCAATAATAGTTGCAGTGCCACTCAGAGCTTTAAATTGCAAAGATCTGAGGGGTACTGCCACTGCGCCCGTCACCCTGAGACTTAAGTTGACAAGTTCCATGTGCCTATTATTTCACCAGCACCCTTACCCTTTAAAACCGGAACACAGTAATGCTGCCATTTTGCTTGGCGGCAGAAATAGATAAGGTGGCAGTAATACCCTGGACGAACTGTTTCACAAGGAGCTCTACTGCTACTAAATCCGTATAATATATATTATTATAATAATTCGCGACACATGCGGCAAAAGTTATTAGACTATGGGTTCCCAGCAACTCATAGCCAATGCTGGCGTTCATCCAACACGTTGTCGACACTGTGGACGAGATCAGCATCGTGCAGGTCTGCAAATCAAATTTCAAGGAAGAGGAGATTTGCAGTGGCAAGGCGCTGTTTTTCCGTATGCTTGAGGAGCGAAGAGTCTCCAGGACATCATCACGTTGTTAAAGGAGACCGACCCAGATAACGTGTCTGCTTTCGTGGCGAAAGAGCTGCACAAGCTGTCCCCTGTCACGTTCGACCACGTCGACGTCACCAGGCTACTCAAGGACATCACGTCCCTAAAAGCGAGCCTTGCTGAAGTTCACTGTAAATTGGATGCTTCAGACAATACCATCAGTGAGTTGCGTGCCCAAGTTGCGTTACTGAGTAGTGCGGCTTTGGTAAGTAGGTCACCCGAGGCCGGTAACGTGAATACGCGGGACGCAAAACGCATCTATGGGCAGTTTTGAGTCGGCCCATACGTTGCCGACCACTGTGACTACGTGCGATTCCCCGCTCCCCGCCCGTCGTTCTT